ACAAGAGCTTAACTAGAACCTTGCTACAATCACATTTGTAATACTGGGCTTCAAAACCCCAACCAAACCTGATCTGTTAAGAGCACAGATGGCTTGTGTTGGAAAGAACCTCAAAGCCCATCCAGCTCCAACCCCTGCCACGGGCAGGGACACCTTCCACTAGAGCAGGTTGCTCCAAGCCCCTGTGTCCAACCTGGCCTTGAACACTGCCAGGGATGGGGCAGCCACAGCTTCTCCGGGCACCCTGTGCCAGCACCTCAGCACCCTCACAGGGAAGAGCTTCTGCCTCAGAGTTAAAGTCAGGGGTCAGATGAGGTTTAGCCTGATTTGTTCTGAGCGTTTTCAGAGATGTGTCCACCACATGCCAGCCAAATCCAAGGGCTATTGTGGAAAATGAAGCATTTTCCTGGACAAACTGACAAGGAGAAATCAATGTTTTGCTGCAACCATCGCTTCGTGTTGCAGCCGGTTGCAGAACAGCCTGGATCCGTGTCCAGAGGAGGCAGAGGCTGCCTTATTACAAAACCGCTTAAAAATATCCTAAAATCTAACTGCTGTACTGCAATACATCATTTACACAGTTTGGGCATCAATATTTTAGACACTGAGCACCAAAGTGGCTGTCAGATGCAAGTCAGCAATTTCCCTTGGCCTCTCTACTGCAGAAAGCAAATGGGGTGAAGGAGAATCTGGAGAAGCCCTTGAGCAAAGAGCTGGAGTCCAGATTTAGTACGTAATTTATGTGAAACCCAAGCTGTGGCAGGAGCAACCCCTGCTCTCTGCCAGCCAGCAAAACGAAGAGTCACTTGGCTGCCTCCATTGAAAACAACAATGTCACAATACCAAGTGAGGCTGTATATGTTTATTCATCGTCAGTAATTTTTGTACACAAGGCAAATATTAATAGCTGAAAGGCAACACTTGGAGAGTATGTACAGAGCAATGTACAAGCGAGTGTAAGAGGTGTGAAACTAGTCAATTTAACCGTCTTATAAAAAGGAAGTGATGCTTTTCTCTTCTAAGACCTCCCTTAGAAATAACTTATTGCCAATCTGAACCTAAAGCAAGGAGAAAACCAACAACAACAAAACCCAATTTACAATACAAAGTAGTCCCTGGAAAGTTTATAAAAAGTTAAAACATATAAAATTGTAAGCCACAAACATTTATACAAAGCTAATACAAATCTTGGGTTTGTTAAAGATCTATGAGGTTGTTACAAAAGGTGTTTTTACAGAAAGGCTTCACGTCAGGTAAGCTCTCACTGCTACTGGAGGCGCAGGAAAGCGCACTTAAATAGTCTGCAAATTCAACTTCTGTTCAAGTACAATGCAAAGAAATTGCAAAATGGCACTGGATTGCAATGCTGCGTAACTCAAAACCAAACTATGTTACTGGTACCATCAGACAGACCTGTCAAGTTAACTGGGGAACCATTGGGTATGGCATGAAACGTGTGATCCGGCTGAAACAGGGACTGTTGGAAATGAACCTTCTGTAACCGTCCTAAAAGAGGAATACCCAGAGGAGTGTTCCGATGGCCAAGGGACACGCTGAACGTGCTCAGCCCCGAGGCTTTCAGCAGGGAGGTGCTCCCAAACGTGGGGAGCAGACACAGTAGGACCAACCTGACTGGGACTGATCATGAATGTGATGATGAGCCAAGTGTGATGAAGCTTGAAGCACCCACCCGACCTGAGCAGTCTGCTCCAGTCGCTCTGATGGGCAGGATGTGAAGCTACTTACTAGACAAATGAGTCCCATATACAGCCCTTGAGATCGATGAACCCGCCTGACTTGGTTAAGAGCAGATATTCAAGAAGAAAGCTTTAGTTTTACACAACCTGATGGCTTAAGCTCCCACATAAAATATATTAAAAAAAAGTAAAACTTTTAAAGCCCTGATGAACAGCCACAGTTTTCAGGTATCAAATCAACTCAGTTGAAACACGCTGCAGCAGGGAACAGTCGCTAAAACACCGATTTCACCTTCAAGTACAGGAAGGCTGTACAAGACAGTGGTATAAATCCATATGGTCAGTGATCACTCCATCAAAGAGAACTAAGGAAGTTTGGGGAAACCCGATTTTCCACTTGCTTTCCCACCTTCACTAGAAGTATGTTCTGACCTTGCAGCACAGACTGGTTTACATGAACAAGCTCCGCTCTTTACTAGCCAACTGTCACTCATTTGGTTGCTTCAGGATAAAAACAGGACTGTTGTAAACACCAATCCTTCAGCTCTTGTACCAAAATGATGTCCTGCTATAAAGACATAATATTTAGAAGCCATTTTAAAAAGACAAACAGTACACACTGTGCTCCTTCTCAGGTAGCTAATGAAGAGTAAGGCTGAAGATGGAAAAGCCACCTTTGGTGCAGTTTAGCTTGTGAACAGAGGAACCATGTAAACAGCTACAGCAAGGTCTGTTCCCTCATCCCCTCTACACAAGTGGGAAACGTGAGTGATTTGACTCAATTTCATTACAATAACTCATTTGTGCCTGAGATTCATATAGTGCTTATCTACCAGGGCCTGCTTTGCTAGAAGTGACCCAACATTGCAGGGGCCACCTCACTGTCTTACCAGCCCTGGTGTTCACAGGGAAAGTGATCTAAAAAGATTAAAACCGTTTTATTTGGTGTTGGTTCAGGGGAGAAGCCTGCTAAGTGTTTTCCCCTCTTTAGCTGAGCGCCCAGTGCCTTGGTGATACTGATACACCCTTCGACCAACATCAGTTTTGAGGATCTTTAGTAAATTAGCAGGTCCCTTGACACAAAATTCATCAATGTTTTACAGGAACAATTTTGTTTAGACAAATTCCTGGTCCTTTTCCTACCATCTGCTATCCAGTCTTCAGTCATTTCAGCAACATCTGGTGTGACATCCTGCAAAACACATACTAGAGACCTCTCCAAGTTAATTACTGTTAATTAGAGCAGAGTGAAGTCTCTTTTCGTAAAGACACTTGTTCAGACAACTGCCAGCAAAGGGAAATAACAAACCTACTCCTCTTGTTGACTAACAAGGGCATGGACTTGATCAACTTCTGCTTTCCAACACTGGACTATGAGGCTACGCAGAGGTTTGTCTACTCATGTAACGTTTATAGCTCAACAGATCATCCTTCTCCAGAGGGAAATGGACAACTTCTGGACTCCCATTACAGGCTTCTTGTCTAATCCTTTAAATAGCTTCATCAGCCTTTTTTGACATCCCTAGTTCATCCTCTTGAATTGCTCACATATGACCTGAACGCATCAAACCACAAGTAACCATATCCATGTCCAGTAAGGAGGCAAAACCTTAAATATCCCCACCCAAAGATGCTATTAATCCTTCTGACATCAGTGTTGCACCCAGGCTTTACACTTAGGTTCAGATAACGCACTGTGACTTCTCCCAAGCTCTTTTCACAATTCCTTCCTCCCAAAATAGCGCCTTATGGCAGGAATTGCAGACTAATCTATGACTACTCATTGGATGATATAAAAAAATAGAGGTCTTTCAAAGCACCTAACTAAATAAAAATACACTATTCCCCTTCTACTGACAGGAGAACGAGGTACAGAGATGTTAATACAACTTACAATCACAGTAAGTAAAAGGCTAAGTTCAGAAGACAGGCGGCTTTCCTGTGCCCTCGCAGGGACACTGCTCCAAGCAGTGGGAATGTGATGTCGCACCACTTGCCACATGTTGGATATGTAAGTAAAAACTCGTTTAAAGTATTGGCCAGCATCATGATCCACAGGAACTGGCCTGTTCCATGGGGAAAGTGGCCAGCTGAACTGCCTACACAACACTACAGCCTGGGGGAAACCTGGTAGGGCGCTGCTCTTTAAACACTTTAAGCTGACAGAAGCTTACTCTCCTTTTGCAGTATGTGTGCTGGGTGATGTATGAGGAGTTCTGGGCAAAAGAAGTAGTTTGTATTATTCTTTTAAATCACATGGCAACAGTAACATCCCCTCCCCTTAGAAAAAAACCCCCACAAAACACACCAAAACCCAACCCTGCATTGGAACTTTTGGTAAGATACTCTTAGCCACAAGCAGCACTCTGGAGTACGCTGTGCAACGTATTTGGCTCAAGTACACTTAGGATTGCTAGACCCAATTGGGAAGTGTCAGAAAGAACCTCATCAGCTGAAGCACATTCTGCTGTGACATGTTCTTTCTGCATAAGGAAACATTCATCTTCATGGTGTCAGCTACACAAGGCCTCTGCTGGGAACACGGATGCTCACGTAAGGCCACTGGAAATACCGTTGGACAGAACACAAGGAGGCACTTAGGTTTGCAAGTCCTTCTATCCATCACCACATGCTTACTGTTTAAAATGAGGCACGCTGGAAGTCATGAAGAAAGTAAAGATAAACCAGTGCTATATTAAAGCGCTTCAAGAACAGGGTAAGGTACCTACACGTAGTATCTGGTTAGTGAAGATAAATACTAGTTTGCTCTCCCATTCCCACATCAGACTCTCAAGAGGACCATATCATAGTGCTCTGTGCTTTGCCATGGCTCCAAGACGCCCATACAACGCAGTAGAGTGAAACCGTGTACTGTGCCATTTCCTAATTCCTCATTCCTGGACTTCTGCCTGCTGTTGTACTTCCTGCCAGGACTGGCCCAAGCTCCCAACCTAAGTACATTTAAACCACCATGCAAAGACCGGTACTTCAACAGGAAGTACGTTACACCTGGGAATCCCAGCTTCAAAGAGATGATTCCAGCAAGGGATTTATGGGATTTCTAACCAACAATAGACCTGAGAAATCATAAGTCAGCTATGGTATCACAGTCTTCATAACAGAGTTAGATGTGAAGAGTTTCTCTCCCCCTTAAATTACTGCCACAGTCTAAGAATTGCAACAATTTTGCTGAAGTTTGGACTTGGAATTCTGAAGGTGGAATGATTTTTTTTCCTAGGATAATAATACACATGTTCATAAAAGGTCGGATTTATCACTTTACAGGTACTTAGACATAGGTCTGCTATAAAATTACAACTGGAGTCAACTTGAAGCTACACTGGAAGAGATTAAGCCTGAATTTCTGCAGAAATTGGCAATAATGTGTTCAGCAGCAGCTTTTAGCCACACATCAAGAAGTCTGACAGGATCTGGATTTCTCTACTCCTGCTGTAAACTTCTAGTTAAAAAAACAAACAAAACCAACACACGAAAGTTACTCAAAGAAAAACGTCTTTTTGCACATCACTGTAACATAAGCTGCTTGAGGTTGTCGTGAAGGATGGTATCCTTAACGTCACGGAAAACTAGCCGGATGTTTTCTGTGTTAATAGCAGTGGTGAAGTGGTGGTAGAGGGGCTTCTGCTGCTGGTCCCGGCGTTTCGTACGAAAACAATCCACCAGGAATTTCTGGACATCTGTTAAGCAGTGGGGATCCCCTTCAAACTCGGGGAAATAGTCTTTGATGCTCACTTTTTTTACTTTTTCCTCAAGCAAGTCCGTCTTGTTTAAGAAGAGGATGATGGAGACGTTGCTGAACACCCGGTTATTGACTATTGTCTCAAAAATGTTCAGGGACTCGGTCAGGCGATTCGTTTGCCGATCCTCCATCAGCACTTGGTCAAACTCACTCGAGGAGACAAGGAAGAGGATGGACGTGACGCTGTCGAAGCACTCGAACCACCGCTTCCGCTCGGACCTTTGGCCACCTACATCAACCATTTTGAAAGGGACGTTTTTGATTTCAAAGTCGTACTCGTGAATCCCTTTTGTAGGTTTCCGGGCCAGGAGGATGTCTTGCTGTGAGGGAAGGTAATCCTGAAAGAGACACAGTTTGATTAGGATACAAAGCACAGGCGTGGCGATCACCGAGCTGCCATTGAGAGAGAAGCTTGCAGAGGACCAGCACAGGGTTTTGAATAAACATACACATGGATGCATATTTATACACTGACACCGAAGCATTCTGCAAGGGTCCAAAGCACGGAAACACAGCCCATAATAAATCAAACCTGTACCCCACAGAACTGAAGCTTTCCATTTGCCACATGACAAGGATCCATAAACAGCCCGAGATGTGCACCGTCAGTTCCTCATGCCAGTTTCCCTTATTCTGGATTACTTTCTGCTTCAGTCATCCTCTTCCCACAAAGCTGGGAAACACGCTGGCTGCCAACACTGCAATGCAGCAAACGGGGTCTAAAGCAGGTCTCTCCAATCAGTAACCACAGGGAGTATCCTGTTCTAACCATGGGTGCTCCATTCCCCCCATGTTCTCGTGCATACTCACGACTGCTTCCAGGAAAAAGAACTACTCCACTAAGTCATTTTTAAGGCAATTATGCCAGAAAAGCACAACCTAAGCAACTTCCTCTGCTCTTGCCATGGGTCTTTCACATCGTATCGCTCCAAAAAGTCACTTCCATCAGCTACATGCCACATCTGTGAGCTCAAAACATAGTCCAGAACAGCTTGTGCAACTGGTAAAATAGGAGAAGTAAATGGCAGCTGAGGACAGCAGCCTCTTCCCGGCAGGACAGCCTAGGAGCTCACCTTTTCCCCCACAATGAAACAGGCAGGATAAGTAGGTTTTTTACTACTTAAGTGTTACATGATTGATCATTATTAACAGATCCAGATGTTAACAGGAAGAGGAACTCTTATTAGTCAGCTTTCGAGAGCCTGAAATTCAAGCCTCATATGGGGATTTCTTCAGTCTTGGAGTTACACTTGGCATATGGTCCAAGTCTTTCTGCTGTTTCAAAGTGCATCGCTAACAGGCAGCTGGCTGATGCTGAAGTTTAAAGCTTTGTTGTTCACTTGTTATGGAAACTCTTCCTTATCCCTTTCCAGCATTTCTCACAACTTCAGAGAGTGTGACTTTGGTTTAAGAATTTTAGTCTCCTCTTAGCGAATGACCTACAATCTTCCTCTGACAGTGCCAGTTACCAGACTTGGAGCTTTTACAAGGATGTGTAAGACCTGGGTCCAAAAAGTCTGATTCAATTAGTGAGCTGGGGCAGGGGAAACAAACACACAACTACACAGCTACTCAAATACTGGTATTCCAAGTGTAAGGTACCTGGGCAAGTTTGATCCGCAGCCTTTAAGAAAGTAATGTTAAAACTTATGGAGTGTAATGTTCCAAAAACTCAGGGATCACTTTGCTTTGCTATGAAAGCTCAGAAGTGAAATCAGCTACAGAGAATCTGTAGGTTGAACTCCCGGGTTTCTTTACTCAGCCTGTCCATGACTAAGGCACTGCTTTTTACCGTGGCAGGAACTATAGAGCAGCTCTGAAGCACAGGCTCCCACCCTGCACATTCTGCTGCTCTACTATTACCCAGCCACAGCCAGAACCACCTCAATCTGCAGGAGAGCTGAACTGAAAAGCGATGTCATATTCCCTCCAAACCAAGCAACGGGCACCTGCTGCCACCCCCCTGACTGACTGAAAGCAGCAGCTTTGAAGGGTAATGAGATTTTTCTCTTTGTTAAATTTATCTTTTGTCTTTTCTACCCAAAATTGTTGCAGAGGGAGAACAATCAGATGAACAGAGCAATGGCTGTATCAGATGTCACTGGGCACATGGGAAGGGATTTTAAGCTGACTGTTAACACCTAGGCAAGAGGATGTCACAGGTTCCATCTTCCAGATGGGAACGCAGCATCTTTTGTTAATCAGGAAGTTAGCCTTGAGTTCTCAGAACAAAACCAAAAAGTCTTAGGAAAGCTCAGGAGCGATTACTGAAGTAAGTAAATAAAATCAATTAATATAAAAGGCAAAGTCATCTATATCTTCAACACTGAAACAAGAGCACAAAGAGAACTCATCTGAGAGTTGGCCTGTAATGTTTATTCAGTAAAGCTTTCAAGAACAAGGAGCTTATCCCTAAAATTCCTGACAAACTCCCTCTCGAGTATTATTACTCATTTAAAATTCCTTCCACACTTGCAACCACAAATAAAATCCTTCGAAGTGCTTTCAAGCTCTACATGCACAGAAGACCTACCATGTTTTATACCAGATGATGGCTGCTGTGATGCACCAGCCTGCAAGTGAGTGCGCTGAAGCCAAGTGCTCGGCGTACAGCCATCATCTGGCAACAGGAGACCAAGCACAACCCCTCCTAAGCAAGCTCCCAGTGTTCTAGCTGTCTTTTGGAGAAGGATGATGTTTATTCCCTCATGCCCAGATCCTTGGGATACCAGCAGCAGCTGGACACTATAGCAATTCTGAATGAGCCCTCCAGTATTATCCTTCGAAGTCCTTTCAGTGCTTTGCCACTGTCAGTCGGTACTTTTCCTGCAAGCATCCAAAAAGGGCACATTCCTTTTCTACACTTTGCCCTATCTTTCATGTTGCCTGTTGTCTTCTACACCTTCTCCCTTTTTTGCTTTGTCTGGTTGGGATTTTTTGGGAGGGTTGCTGGGTTTTCAGTTGTATTTTCTGTGCAGCTCTTCCCAAGGATCCACACTGATACTGACTCAGAACATGTGCTCTCTTCCCGAATTATCTCCTCCCTCAGATTCACTATTTTTTTCCTCTAAAGGACTTCTTCTGGTTATCAGGTAGTTCTGTTAGCTATCACATCACTCTTTCTATAGTTAAAATCAGAATTTAAAGCATGAGTAAGATCTAGTCACAACATGGAAAGCGATGTATCTCTGTATTTTGGATACATACAGTCTGCACTGGCAGTTCAACAACAACAAACACGCAGGAATCCGGCTGATCCCAGCCAGCTACTCGTATTTTGCTGATCTGACTAAGTCTGAACATTTAAGTTCTTTTTCCTACTGACTGTTATCATTTCCTCCCTTTGGGCAAGAGGCACATGAATTGCAGGTCTGTCTGTTTATAAGCAATTCAGTTGCAGACCAGCCAGTTATGTCAGAGAACAGATAAGAACAGCAAAATACTTGTATTAATGTATAGTTTGGGGGAATAACCATTAGACAAATCTTGCATATAGGTAAGATTAAACCAAAAGAACCTATCAAACCTTTCACTCAGTAACAAAACTGTTCCATATAGGCCCAACATTTTCTATGACAGCAGATCTTGAAGGGTGCCTCTGCATCTTATCATCATTTGGTCTAACTTTCAACTGGAAATGCTGTAATTCAGAGCTTGGCATTCCCACAGCAACATCAAACCTACAGTGAGTGTGTGTCCATAGAAAAACACATACTGACTTCAAATTTCAGGCCTGAATCAGAGTGGACCAAGGTTTCTAAGTAAAGAACTTTGAAAAGAAGATGCAAAATGTACAGGGAGGGGAAAAAAACCAAACCAAACCCAAAACTCAAGTGGAATTGGGTTCAAAACCTATGAGAAATCCACCATGAGCAGAAAGTTGAGCAGTTCATTAAAGTGAGTGCAGCTCTCCTAGTGCTGTATAACTCCAGACCAAAGCAAGAGTGGAGGAGTAAGAGCTAGAGTTCTCAAGTGAGGTATCTGGGAAGTGTGTGCATGCTGCAAGGTGATCACCAGTGCTCTGCTAGACAAAATGACAGTTCAAAGCTTAAAATTAACTTTTTCTCTGTTAAAGAGAAAAAGAAAAACAGAATTAAGCCCGATGCCACAGAATTCAATTGAAGTGGTTTAGATTCCTTCAGCATTTGTTAGCCATCAGCTGGAAATGACCATGGAGACACTGCCTCCCCATGGAGTTCAAGCTGGCATCCCATTTTACAGGCAGTTTTTCCACATGCCATTTCTGCAACGCACAACTAATGAGCATCAGACAACTTCATTAGTCAAGCAGTAAGCAACAGTTCTACCCAGAAGTTTCAGCTTTTTCCCCCAGAGAAGAGAGATTTTGTTCTGAACCAAGTGTGCTTATTTTGAAGCAGATGCTACAGGAAGGCACCACTGAGCCGTGCACCCATTTAACTGGGTGTTCCTAACTGGATATGTACAAACAAGAGCACTCGTTTCTGGGTATCATGTAGTGTTGAAGTGTTACTTTAACAGCCTTCTCACTGGACATGCATTTGTAACTTGGGTTTGTTCAATTTCTACATAAGTTTTATTACCAGAAAGTCTCTTGGCCCTTGCATTGCCCTGTGCTTTTGCCATGTTGGTGATGAACTGCTGAGATAATGCAACAGTCAAAGCTCAAGTTATTTGAGTAGACGCTAATAACATTTCATGTGTTTAAACCCCAGAGATCACAAAGACTACTTAAAACTCAAGACTGAAAGAAATCCAAAAGACTTACTTGTTCTCCAAGTTTATCCAAGTTGTCCAAGAAATACTTGACGGATTCCCCCTGAAAACAAAGCAAACAGTTAAATAAGTGGCACACTTGATCCCAAGAGTTTACATTGTGAAGTCCAGTTAATTTACCAACATCCAGACAACAGTGCTGTAAGCTTTAACCACTCCCATCTCTCAAGCAGCTCTCCTAAGAGCATAACTAATGTTTTATTTCTAGGTCAGTTAATATTTAACCTTAAAAGCATAGACAGGCACATTTATAACAGTTAAGCGCGTTCCTGGTTTAGCATTGCTAAGTAAATCCTACAGTGTTATCCACAGGGAGCATCAGTGAAGCAACCACACCTTCATTATGAAGAGATGTATTCAATTCTTCCAACCCGTTGAGGAGCCTGCACATATAGGATTAATCACTGCAGATAGATTCATTTATAACTGCCTTGCCATACAATCCCATTCATGCAGGTACTCCCCCTGAGCACTGCCAATGACTAGCAGAACAGAGGATGAGAAACCACAACTGATGAAGACCAAGCTGGACAAGAACTCCTTACTCTGGGAGTAATGAACAGAGCTCCACACTGCAGTACTGCATATCACATCCACTACACAGGTTATGTTCTGGTTTCAAGCCACCACTGTCAGCGCAAATAGTAACTGAAGTGTTTAATCCCTCCAGTAATGTGGAACTAAAGATTCTCTACTGTAAGGCTGAGCTGCAGTCAGCTCTCCAGAACCCCATCAGGGTTTCTGGGATGAAGGAAGAACTCTTACAAGGAGGCTGCTGATCCTGAGTTGACTTCCAACAGGTAAATACACTGATTGAATTTACTGCAAAGGAAGGTAGCACCTTTATAGGATTCTCAGCATCATCTCAGCAGCAGAACCACGCTTCCTTTTGAAAGCTCTTGATTACCAAGCTGTAAGTTATTTACTTTATAGTAAATACAGAAAAGAAACCATCTGTGTTTTCACTCTGGGGATAGAGGAGCAAGAATCCTGACAGAATCTTCTTGATGAGCAATTCAAGCAGCATCCAGGGCTGAGGTGACTACATGTAAGCCAGACGAGTGAATCAGGACAGGAGTTACACCCTGATAATCACTTCCGTTCACTTGAAATAGAACTTATCTCAGAAGAATATCAAACCTCAACATTAAACCGTGTCACCTAAGCAGCAGAGAAGTAGGATAAGGTAAATAACAGTCCAAAAAGGGTTCTGGCAGACACAACACAAGGCAGGTACCTTTGCAGGTATTCCAGGTCCTAAAAAGTTACCTAACAGCAGCAGACACCGCACCTGCCGGTGTGCAATTTGGACATCAGCTTTTCATTAGGCAAGATGGGGACTCTGGTTGAAACGTGCCTTGTGCTTGACACACCTGCAGGGAGAGCCCAGCACACTTCTACTACCTAATTTTACCTTCTATTTAGCTCACCATCACTGATTCTCTCTGGGATGACAAGCTGCAGCACTAATGCTAACCAACCATTTCAAAGCCCGGCGGTACAGAACAGCACCTCTTGCAGTGACAGCAGTATTTCACACCTACATCTTTGTCAGCACTCAGAAATCCATCCGAGCCTCAACCCTTTAAGGGAAGTGTATGAGGAGCAGCATTCCTATTCCACAGAACATAAAGATACACAACCTTGATGCACAAATCCATCAAAGCTTCCCAAGCAGGAGTAGCAGGATCAGAATTGAGGCCTTCCAAATACTAAGACCACTGTCTGTAGCTGCATATTAAGATAAAATAAAGTTTAGGGTCATGCTTAGTTTGTTTTTTAGGTCCTTAGTAGGAGCTGACAACCTTCCCTCCCCTCAGGACTCTCTAAAATCCTATTTCAGACTCATTTAGTGGAGGTATTTATTCTACAATACCTGGTCCTCAGAGGCTGTAAGAATGGATGTGTGGGGGTACATGCAGACATGTGTTTTAATCTTAGACAACTCTTTTTTTATACTGCCTACAACAATGCTTGCTCCCTAACGAAGCATTAACTCCACACTACTGGAATGCATGAGTTACTACATCTCCTTTAAGTCCTGGGGCTTACTGCTACTGCAATGGGTTGAGCAGTTGGAGCAGTAAACCACAGCCTGTGAAGGTCACAAAACATCCCCAGAAGCAGCTTCCCAAAAGAGGGGATTTCCTGAAAGCATGAATGCAAAATACATGGTCCTGCAGCAACGGCCATGCTCCAGAGCCACACATCAGCAGGAAAGGGAAGCACACCAAGGGGACTGCTTAGCCTCCAGGCTGTCACATATCAAAGTCAAGGGCAGACAAGTATCAAGGTGGCCATTCTGAAACTCAAGAGGTTACACTACAAAAGCAGTCAGTTATGAGCAGGATACAGTTAATAAAGCAGTGACATACCAGCTTCCCTCCTCCACATCTTCAGCCCAGTCACTCAGTTCTTCCCTTATGAAAATCTATCCAGACAACCAATATGACACACCAAGAAAGTGCTGTCACCATGACTCAACTTGGTATTTAAGGATAAAAGTTGTTCAGTCATTGGCTTTTATCAATTTGCACGGCACCAAGAACTTAAAACAGCTTCAAGTTCGTCAGCAGTTCTTCCATCACATTCCAGACAGCCCTCCCCTATCACAGTGTCTTGACTCTGGTTGTTTTCTATCTGGCCTGGACATCTTCAGATTAGCAGGCTCAGCTCCTGTAACTACAGCTACTCTTGAGCAGCCAACCACGACGACTAACAGATGGTTATCAGAGTGCACTACTGCAGAACTGAAGAGTTTTGACCCATTTTAAACAAGCTTCAAAAACACAGCATGACAAAGCAGCCAAGCAAGACTTCCCATCCTCTTCCACAGGGGTGACTCTCTGTGTTGTACGCAATGAAGAGAAGTCCACTGAGAAACCCAGCACACAACAACCAAGGAAAGCCTTAATGCCAGCAACTGAGTATGAAAATGACCTATTCATAACACCAGCTCCAAAGACAGCTTCTATGTTAGGCTACTTTTGCTTGACACTGGATATCACTCTGTAAATCAATAACTGGCTATATTTAAATGCTGTATTCAACAGACAGTTGTTGCCTTCTGAAATTTCCCTTCACACAAACCATAAACCCTCTGGTTTACCTAACATGACTAGAAAATAGAAGCTTGGGTTTCCCCACTCTGCCCCACTAACTCCAGTGCGGCTCACCACGTCCACGTGGCTGCTCTAACAGCCTAGCTGCTGCTGTCATGCCACAAAGGAGCCACAGCAAGGACAAAATCAACGGGAGACTGAGAAACTGCAGGATCTCCCATCATCAAAAAGCTTTATAGTTCTCCATTCATTCCCATTGACTTCACACCCATGTTCTGTGAACACAGACGATGGAAATAGATCTAGTTAAAGAAATATAGTGATGTGAAGGTCTTAAATTAGTCAAAAGTGAACCTCCGGTTTTTCAAATGCAGGTAAAGCCTTCAAAGAAATTTTTATGGTTGAGCAGTTGTGAGCTGCCAACTCCTGAAGTGTGGTTGCAGGTTACCAATGACCTGTTACACCACAGGAACCATACCATCAACCCTTCCTTGTCCACTGCCCGCTTCCTTCTGCTCAGCTTAGAGCACGCACCCAAAGATGTGAACAGAAGTGACAAACTCCAGCTTGATCACATCTCTCATGGGTGTTGATACGCTGCAATAAAGCAAACTTCTTGAACACCCCCCAGTACAACAGAATGAATGGCCTATATATTAGCTTCAAAGCTCTTCCAGTGTCAGGTCACTGCGCTTTTGCTCTTTTCATACAGTATTAATGTAAATCCTATCAGAACATGAGATTTTAAGCCATCACTTTGCCTGTAGCAGATGCCCTTTTTTGTTCAGAAATGCATGTAAACCACAGGAAGTTGACTGTTAAATAACTTTATTCATAACTGTCAAGTGTTCCATTTTCAGCAAGGTTTGATTCTGAACAGCCTGTGTGCCTGCTGCAGTCTTGTGATCCTTCCTGAGGAAAGCCAACTCATTTCATCCTGAGCACACAAGTTGTGTTTTCTTGTAAATCACAACCATATTCTTACCAAGGCACTTGATATTAACAAGAACAGCTTCCCTTACAACACTGCATCTATCTCAACTAGTCCTGCTCACGCCTGTGCAATGAAGTATCTTGAGCTCTTTGTAACGCGCTCCTTCTACAAAGATGGGATTACAGAACATGTTGGCCAACTACCTGCAAGACAACAGTGTGTTGTACCTGAAGTAACCCAGATTAGTTATCTTTTATAAACACCACTTGGCAAAGAGAAAGATTACTGTCTGAAATGTTGCTAGTTGGTGCCTAAAGCAAAGCAACCACTAAAATATTTTGGGGGAGGAAAAGGAGGAAAAGAGACGACTACATGAAATACACAACAGATGAACACATCTTTTAAACCCAGGAAGTGGCACCAATTTATTTGGTTTCCATGAAAACAATGTCAGCAATCTAAATATGATTTGTTGAAACCTCAGCATCGCCAAACGGCTTTTTTAGCTGTTCCAGGGCAACACAGAGAGCACATTCTTTCCAATAGCAATCACTTTGAAAAATAAGAGAGGGAAAAAGCATCAAATAAAGATTCAGTCATCACAAGGTTTGAAGAAAGATACGAACAATTTATCAAACCATCTACGTCTGGCTGCAAGTTCAGCAGAACACACTGAATAGACAGGACTTAAGTATCTGAAAGAATAAATCAGATATTTAAAGAAAACAGGAGATATAATTGAGTAACTCTAGATTAGAATTACAGGAACCACAAAACCTTTTCTCTTCCTGACCTTACTTGAATTTCTGGTAAAACATAGATTTTTCTATTTTATCTAATTAAAAAACCCCACAAATACACAAAAACAACAACAAAAAAGCTTTTTTAAAAGCCTAGTTTAGAAGATCAGGTAACTACAATGTTCTTAAGCTGGCATGTACATGCCTAAATTGACACACAAACCAAACCATCCATAACACAGGAAAAGCCGCTTGAAGGAAGAAAGATGATGGAGGAATAACCAAAGCCTTAAACTTCTGGATCTTA